GTTCAGGATGGTGCTGGTGTAATGGTGTGGGGGATATTTTATTGGCACACCTTTGATCCTTCAGTATCGACTGAGCACTGATGAAATACCACACCTACCTGACTCTTGTTGGTGCTCATTCCTTTATGACCACCCATGACCCATCTTCTAATGGCTACTTCCAACAGGATGTTGAACCATGTCACAAAACTCAGAACATCTCAAACTGGACTCTTGACCATGACAATGAGTTCACTGTAGCCAGCAGTCACCACATCTCCGTCCAACAGAGCATCTGTGAATCTGTGCCACAATTTAAAAAAAGGCTGTTTTGAAGGCAAGTTTGTCCAACCTGAACTACCTGTGACTGATGAAGTGGCTGGTGGGTGTATCTTACTAGTTGATTTAATGATGTAAATAGATACAGTCAACACAAAAATATTTGGATGAGAGAAAAAGACAAACAGGTTATGTTTTTGTCTCGGTCAACTAACTCATGAACGAAATAAGAATTCTCTGATTATGGCAGTCGTCAAACAACATCAGTCATTCATTTTTACATCTTTGTGCAGGCTGAGATGGAGATGGAGTCACTGTTGGTGGCCCGTAAACAGCTGCTGCAGCAGTGGAGCAGCTGCCTCATGGGGTTGAGGAGACGAGACGAGGCCTTCGGTGCGATGCAGGAAGTCATCCGGTGAGACTGATGGATGTGGGAAGCTGTTTCTGATTCATGTCCTACTGAGTAAACGTTAAAGGTGCTAATGCGCTTCAAGTGTACATGTAACAAATGATGACAGTGCTCTAAACATAGAAACATAGTCTATAGAAAATGACAGATGTCTATAAAAAATTTATTTTTAGAACACTCAATGATAATATTAACCCTTATTTGATTTTTTTATTCAAAAGTAACACAGAGCAAAAAGTGAGCAGCCATTCATTTTTTTTCTGTTCTTCTCAGTGAAACCAAGCACCAGGTGATCTTGCTGGACAAGGACATTGATGGCTACAAGAAGTCCATCAATGCAGAGCAGGAGCAAAATGAGATACTGACACTGCAGCTGAATTGGTCTCAAATGGACTGCACCACTACCAGAAAGCTCATCAGTGACAAGCAGGCTCAGCAAGAGGCCCTGCAGGCCCACTACAGCACATTCCTCCTCACTCTGCAGGAGACAGAGCGAACCCTCGCTAGACTCTCAAAGGTCAGTGTTTGTCCAGAGAGCAGTCGTGGTACAAGGTTAGAAACATTACACTGCCTGATTTTGTTTTTGTCTTTCTTTAATCTCACCCTTAATTTCTCCAGGAATTTGGGTCACTCCAGGCTCAAGTGAACGATCAGAGTAAGCAGCTGGAGAAAGAGAGTTCTGCACGGCTGGAGCTGGAAAACAACATCATGAGCTCCATGCAGCACAAGCTCCTCCACAACAACGCTGCCAAGTACTCCCAACTGCTCACTGAGAAGATATCCAGACTCAAAAAAGAGAAGGTAACTAAAAGCAGGAAAGTATTGAAAATGCTTAGACTGTCATAGCACTCTTATGATAACACTCTTCAGACCATTCACACTAAATCCCCTTTCTTTGATATCCCTAGTATTATCATAAGAGTGTTATTCACTATACCCTACATATTGTCCAGGTCTTTGGCTTAGGCTTGTTTTAGTGAAAGACACACTCCAGCAGTATCACGTTATAGATAAAGAAAGAGAGAGAATTCACAAGCAACTGATGAAGTCTTTTGGTTTGAAATGACAGAATAATGCAAATAACAACAGCTCTACAGGATTAGTAACAGTAGTAGTAGTAACAGGTGTTAAATAAGTACATGTATAAAGGTTAATGTACACTATAGAGCCATAGAGATTTGAATGCAATTTATTCATATATTGTCAAATTAGCTTTATTCAATTTCAGTATTATTATTTTACTAATTTTAACGTTTTTTGTTCATGCTTTTACGTGACAGGATTACATTTTTCATTTTGATTCCTAGCTTTTTTTCTTTGTAAAATGTGTAGAGAATAAAACAAATATGTGAAGATATTAGATTTATGTGCTTCTCATCATTCCTTTCCCCCCTTTAGATGTACCAGTTGAAGCAGTCAGAGGAGGAGGTGTTGGTGGTGAAGCTGGAGAGCCAGCTGGTCAGCCAGCAAGTGGACAACCTGGCCCTGACTCAGAAGGCCCTTGATCAGGAGATCACGAAGTACAACAAGTTAATCACAGCCATTGAGGCTAAGCTTACTTCATCTGTTAGAGTCATCGAGCAGAAGCAGTCAACGATCATCGGATACAACACGAAGATTTCTCAAATAGCGGCCACCACTGGGGTGAGTGGCTGTGGGGAAGCTGTGGTTTCTTGTTACTAAGATCATAAATAAATACAATAGAATAAAATGCAATTTTATATATATAGCACATTGAAAACCAGGGGGTACACCAAAGTGCTTCACAGTAAGGAATAACGGTAAATAATTGCACTGAACAGTAAGTGATTAAAACAAGGTCAAATAGAGAAAACAGAGAAACAAACAAACACATTAGTAAGTAGAGATAGGGAGAAATCATGATTATCCAGAGAAATGAGTAGCGATACAGCAATTAAGGAGCGGTGAGAATTAGTGAGTTGGAAAAGCCAGGTTGAATAGGTAAGTTTTCAAGCGTGCTTTAAAGTATTGGATGGAGTCAGAGGCATGAATGCTAGCAGGAAGACTATTCCAGAGGTTTGATGCTACAGAGGCAAAAGCACGATCACCCCTAGTCTTCAGACGGTGCCTGGGCTGGGCCAGAAGTAACTGACCAGATGATCGTAAAGAATGGCTGAGAGCATAGAGACTGAGAAGGTCGATGAGATAGTCATGGGCAAGGCTGTTTAGGCATTTCAAAGTAAGCATCCATCCATTTTCTTCCACTTATCCGGAGCCGGGTCATGGGGGCAGCAGCCCAAGCAGAGAAACCCAGACCTCCCTCTCCCCAGCCACCTCCTCCAGCTTGTCCGGGGGAACACCAAGGCATTCCCAGGCCAGCTGAGAGATATAATATCTCCAGCGTGTCCTGGGTCTGCCCCCGGACCTCCTCCCCGTGGGACATGCCTGGAAAACCTCACCCAGGAGGCATCCTTGTCAGATGCCCGAACCACCTCAGCTGGCTCCTTTCGATGTGGAGCAGCAGCTGCTCTACTCTGAGCCCCTCCCGGATGGCCGAACTTCTCACCCTATCTCTAAGGGAGAGGCCAGCCACCCTTCGGAGGAAGCTCATTTCTGCCGCTTGTATCCGCGATCTCGTTCTTTCGGTCACTACCCACAGCTCGTGGCCATAGGTGAGGGTAGGGACGTAGATCGACCGATAAATTGAGAGCTTCGCTTTTACACTCAGCTCTCTCTTCACCACAACAGACCGGTACGGCGTGCGTATCGCTTCAGCCGCTGCACCAATTGTCTGTCGATCTCACACTCCATTCCAAGGTGAGCTGGAGGCCATCACCCGATGAAGCCAACAGGACCACATCATCTGCAAAAAGCAGAGATGAAATCCTGAGACCACCCAAGTGAAAGCCTTCCAGCACTTGGCTATGCCTAGAAATTCTGTCCATAAAAATTATGAACAGAATCGGTGACAAAGGGCAGCCCTGTTGGAGCCCATCACCCACCAGGAACGAGTCCGACTTATTGCCGGCTATGCGGACCAAGCTGTTGCACCGGTTGTATAAGGAATGAATGACCCGTAGCAATGGGACAGCACCGCCCACAGGACCCCTCGAGGGACGTGGTCGAATGCCTTCTCCAAGTCCACAAAACACATGCAGACTGGTTGGGCAAACTCCCATGCACCCTCAAGTATTCTCGAGAGGATAAAGAGCTGATCCAGTGTTCCACGACCAGCACGAAAACCGCATTGTTCCTCCCGTATCCAAGGTTCGACTAACGGACAGACTCTCCTCTCCAGCACCCTGGCATAGACTCTCCCAGGGAGGATGAGGAGTGTGAGGCAAGTAAGCAGCAGAACTTTAAAATCAATACGAAATTTAATAAGCAGCCAGTGTAAGTCAGAGAGCACTGGAATAATAGAGGCAAACTTTCTAGTTCCGGTTGCGAGACGAGCCGCAGCATTCTGAACGAGCTGTAATCGTTGGAGGTGAGCAAGTTGGAGTCCAGAGTAGAGCGAGTTACAATAATCTAATCTGGAGGTCACAAAGGCATGTATCAGTTTTTTAACCAATTAAGGGCAGAATCCTTGATGCCTATAACATGTTCTAGAAGATCATTGAAAACCCTCAGCAATGCCGTTTCTGTGCTGTGGTTTCAGTGCCAATTACATCAAACCCATCCTTTAAAATCCGGGATGGAAGGAAATCGTGAGCCAAGTTCGAACTTCTCAATTGATCAATAATGCTTTTAAAAGTAGAAAGTGAATGAAAATAATTCAGTGTCATTTTGAATTGTTTTCAAAAACGAGGCTGCCAGCTTTAATTGATTTTTCCTGCATTTGCAGCATGATGACCTCGGTCCTCTGCACATCAAGATACAGTCAATAATAGCTCAGATTGAGGAGCTGGCAGCAAATATAAAGAGTGACCAGCAGCTTTGGATGAAGCGACAGGGGATTCTGATGGGACTGACCCAAACGATAGAAGCCAACAGCAAGGAGCTGCTCAAACTGCAGGCAGAGTACACAGGATGGCAACAGACGAAACTCTACTTTGAGAGTATGCAGGACGCACATGCTGCATACTCCGTCCAAGTCACAACCTGTATGCTACTATGCTACTATCTCCACTTCATTCTCACACCAACTCTAACCCTTTCAGGTCAGATAGAATCAGAGCACCGTGAGGAGGCTGAGCTGGAGAAGAGCTCAAAGATGCTGAAGCGTGATCAGCTGAAGCTCAACATGCTGCTCAGCAAGAAAGGACAACTGAGCCAGGCTCTGCAGCAGGAAAACGCCGTGATGGAGACAGATTTCATTCACAGACTTAAGGCATGACAGGCGGGTTTCCTCATTTTATATTTTCTTCTTTTCTTCTGTTTTATATTAATATATAACTTTATGTAAAATTATGTGACCAGGATGCAGAGAGGGAGGCCGTTAAAATGCAGATGAAAGTCGAGAAGACGCAGGAGGAAAAGGAGAGGCTCCTCAACAGTCTGGTGGAAGCTGAGTCAGTCACTTTCTTTTTGTCCTTGTTTCTTCTGACTTAAACATATTCAATTTATTTATTATTGAGTTGATTTGCTAATCAACTCTTAAATCTCTTAAATCTCTCTCTCAACTCTTAAGTCCTACTACTTATTCATGCATCTTTTAGGATCTTACAAAGCTTCAAACAACCCATTGACTATTAAATTAGTTGTCGGTGATTTTGATAGTCGACGTAATCGTGACTAGTCGACTAATCTTTTAAATTTCAACCCAGCTCCATGTAACTCAAATGCCTCTAACTCGAAACATATTCATAGTATGAAGGTAAAATTTTGCAGGGCTTCATTAAATATGCAGAGTTATTTCCGGAAGAATCACATACTCAGAGAAACACTTTGATTTTTAATGGAATAGTGTACTTTGTTCTGCATGTGTGTGTATTTTCTCTTTTTCTTTGGCACGTGTGGCATACAGGCGGCAAATCATGCTGTGGGAGAAGAAGACACAGCTTGTAAAAGAGATGCGTTCAGCTATGGATGTGGGGCAGGGAGAAAGCCACACGATGAAAGCTGAAATACATCGTATGGAGGTAAACACAGTACGATTACAGACAGACTATAAGGCTGATTTGCCATCTACATTTTAGCCTTAGCCTGCCATGTGCAAATGTGCTGTTTATGTACAATGCATAAACACATAAGAGTGGGATATGCTTTATTTGAAATGCATTCGATCACTTTGACCCTTGAATTAATTTTTTGGGAAAATTCACTGTTTATTCAACCTTTTGACAATTTATTTTATTAAATAAATATAAGTTTGCTAATATAAGTTTTAATTTGCATCCAGCAATTTTTTTTTATAATTTATTGCTTACAAATGTATTGTGCAATGTTTTTTTAGTTTTCAAGGGAAAAAGCCTCAAAAGCTCATGTATCAGGCATGAAGTTCAGCAAATTTTCCAATTTACAACTTAAAGAATAGAAACAACACGTGGATATGACTTTACAGCATCAGTAGTGGTGTAACGATTCTCCTAACCCACAATTCAGTCTCAGTTCTTCTTTAGATGGAATAAATATTAAAAGCTCAATTATATGATCAGAAATGAATAATGAATGAATAGTAAACATTCGCTTCCAGTTTACTCATTACCTGAACAATCTTTAACATTAAAATGATTTCATCAGCAGGATCTAATTAAGCATTAACTGCTCAACATGGGTATCACTGTAAAGGAAGATTGAACTATATTGTGGACACTTTTATCAGTCATAGTTTCAAGGCTGTTAAACCTCTAAGCAAGGGTAATTTTATATATATCAGGAGTTTCCATCAAAAAAAGGTATCTGAGACAAAAAAGGGCTCCAGGTCCAATCGGATGTGAAAACTAACAGCTCAGTCTTTTTATTTCTCGTACCTCCTCGGGGAAAAAATTATCTCAAGCTCCTCCAAACTCACAGTCATGTTATTTTCTCTATAGAAGCAGATAAATCTGTCAGCTTGGTGTCTGATTACAGCACATAATACTGATATA